TCTCTCTCTCTCTCTCACACACACACACACACACACACACACACACACACACAGAGCAATACTGCATCTCTGCACATGCATCAGTTGAGCATTGGGGACATGATGATTTAAAAGACAAATGAAGAGATTGACAAACTAGTAAACAAATGGAAAAACAAGTATTTCAGCAACCATCACAGAGCTAGGCAGGTAGCCACAGTAAAATGATCCCATTCAAACATTCAGCCTTCAAAGGAATGTTATTCAAGTGCTACATAAAACCAATCAACAGTGAAAGCAGTGAATGACAATGAACATCAACACAAAAAGAATGAATCGGAACACAAAGACTAAATCTGAATAATACACAAGAACAAGTGTTGCAATGTCCTCCAGCCTCTCCCTTCTTCTCTGACTAAATCTGAATAGTACACAATAACCATTGTTGCAATGTCCTCCAGCCTCTCTCGTCTTCTCTGAACTATTCTTCCTCGCATCAATGATAGCCATGGAGGAGTCTCTTCTACAACAAGGAACCTTCTCTGCCCCCTCACCAACTTCTCTAACCTTCTCCACCCTAGCCAACCTAACCTCTCTCCTCCCAAAAACCTCCAGAGGCATGGGGGCATAACAATAAAGTTTTGATTGAAGAATGTCACTCCTTTGTGGAGTCTTTGAGTCCTTTACTTCAGCATAGCTACATGGCGACCTGCAGCTACGTAAGCTTCCTCTCTCCTTGGCGTGTCGCATACACAAGCGACCCAGTCCCTGCATACGAAAGATAACACATGCAAACATTGAAAATCAGATTCCAAATTTTCAATTTAATATTTTAAATTCAAAGTCGGATTGGTTGGTAATAATGCTGAATTTAAAAACAAGGAAACAAATGGTTGACCTTCAACCATGAAATAGCCCTTCAACCCCAAGGTCCACATTTTTTTGACCTCGTAGGCTAGTACCATTAAAACTTAAAAGTATGTCATTTAAAGGTTTATCAAATATGATGCTATGGACTCAAAGTTCTCTAGGACAAGGCGTGATGGGGGTGAGGGAAAGGAGGGTAGAGAAACAGAAAACCACCACCATTTCTCACAGCCCTCTGACACACATTGTGTACTTGTCACTAAAGCTGTAACGCAAGACCCACTGTAAATATGCTCCTGGAGGAACCATGGCACTCTCACCTTCCCTGGTCTATTTGCGCATAATCTCAATTATATTCCAATAAAAAAAGTAAGTGATGTACATCTGCCTCTCAACCAAGAGAACATGGGAAGTTTTAATGACCCTGAACATACTAACAAGGAAAAGCTTCACATAACCACACTGCATTGGTTGAGCTCCTTGCATCCCACTGCACTAACAACTGGGTTTACATGGATGAGTCTTGCAAGAATGCCGGTAATGACCTTGCCCGACACATATGGGACAAATGGTAGCAGAGAGGGAAGGGTAGCAAGCAACAACACCGCCTGCTGCTAAATTGGCCATCAACAAACCAGGGATCATATGGCCCACTGACTACACAAGCTGACGCATAACGACTGTGACTCCGGTGTGATGTCGTGAATATTGATATAATTGTGGATTCCGAGCGCCGAGCTTAGGGCCATTCGCACACTGCGTTTGCACTGTAGCCGAGATGGATTGGGTCCCTGTGTGTTCACTGCCACAGGCTGCGGGTTCGAGCATTGCCTGGTGGGGCGCCTGTGGCGCATGCTGCAGGAGATCTCAAAATACACCAGTTCTTCGGGGACGCAGGTTGCAGGTTCGATCTCTGCTATGCCCGCGTGGATGCTTAGGGGCAGATTGCTGGTTCCCTCTCCAAGCCTAGATGGGAAGGTGCTCTGTCGAACGGGGGGGGGTGAGCTTGCTGTCTAGTGCCAGGACAAGGTTGCAGCGGGCATGGCTCTGAAGCATCTGCAGTTGGCAGGTTGGTATTTTTTCTGCGCCTGCTGTCTGCGACCCAGGTTTGTTCTCAACGACCCAGGTTTGTTCTCAAATGCATTCGCCATCTAGGGTCGCAGACAGCAGGCGCAGAAAAAATACCAACCCGTGGGGGGATGGCCCAATAAATTGTACTCCACGGGTCAGGCAACCCGTGGGGGGATGGCCCAATAAATTGTACCCGTTGAGAACAAAAGGGCTTCTCACAGCACCTCAGGGGGACTAAGGGTGACCCCTGTGCGACTGGGTACCATAAAGGTCTACCGGTGTGGGATGTTCTTAGTCATTTACCCTGAGATGAGGTGGGGTACCTGCACTCTTGAGCTGAAATGCCAACTACCCTACCTTGAATGTATACTACTTTTTAATTCAAAAAAAAAAGAAATAATCCCCCGTTTGAAATCCACTGCAAGCGGACAAGTTACTTAGGGGCAGTCATACTTATATCTCAAGGTTAAAAAAAATAAAAAAATAAAATGAAAGCAGTTTCAGAAGAAATTTGTGGCAGGAGAAGTAGAGGCATACTCACAGAGGGACACTTTTGACAAAGCTGTGGCAGTGATTGCATTATGATGCGTGCAACTTCAAATTGTGAGTGTGCCCTAAGTAGCAGTGCGAGTGAAAAGTGAGAGTGTTAGTGTGCCCTAAGTCCCAGTGTGAGCATGTCCCAATCTGCCTGTAAGTATGGTCAGATACATTCAAAAGAAAATCCCAGTGCGAGTATGGCCTAAAGATATGTCTGCCCATAACTGTAGTCAGATACATTCAAGAAATGTCAAGTGCTTTGGGGGGAAAAAAATCAATGGCCCAGTCTGAATACACCCTACTGAGATGCAGTCAGATACATTCACAAAATGAGTCTGGCTACACTCCTCACGGAATGATGAAAATTGCTACTCACCGAAAAAGTAAAATGAGAATGTCATTGAATCTTCCGCTCAAACATGGGAATATACAACAAAGAAAAAGAGACCCAACAACTGTGAGGTTTCTACTTTGGGGGTGAGAAGATTCAAAAAAATGACACCTGCTACGTACTTGAAAGACCGCAGCTACGGTATGTACTTGTATTCAAGCATGTCGGGAAAGACACTGCCTGCGCACCACCCAAGCGATCGTCCATGGTGTTGTATGTTGGGTCATGGCCTACAAGGGGTTTGCCTGATACAATTATATCTCCAATGGGTATCCAGGTACAGGTTTGTGGTTAGACTGCTCATGTGTGCTGTTATGTACTAGATTGAACTTCAATCCACAACGAATTCACACGTTCCCATAAACACGTGCAATTGCAGAGTAGACTCGAAGGGGAGGCATGTCCACACAAAACCGGAGAGAGATATGCACAGTGGAAGCTCAAACTACGAGAACTGAAAAACGAATTTGAATTCTATAATCTCACGTCCTCCTCCCTTCAATCCAGAGTACTTGTTCCAAGAAATTACAAACGAATTTGAATTCTATAATCTCACGTCCTCCTCCCTTCAATCCAGAGTACTTGTTCCAAGAAATTACAAGAAGCACAACCGCATTTACAACAACCCTTCTTCCTCTTGCCCACCTCATCACCCTGGCTATGGCTGTCGTAGCAGCAGTAACGCCAAAGATGTCACAACGTGCCCATCAGAACCAGCAACCCCAATGATAGCAGCACCAGCTCAGCGCCCACACGAAAGTGCAGTGCTGAAAGTCCTGATGAAGAAGGAGACAACCAATCCAACACTGTGAAGAAGGTGAAGTTCCTCGTGAGGAGGAGGAACAACAGATATGGCTGCCAAGTGGAAGATGAAAGTCCCCAAACCCAACAACACAGTCTTGTCGCAACTCTCACACAGAGCTGCAAAAAAGCATCAGTGCAGAAAAAAGCAGCAGTGCAACCTTCAACTTCGGTTCCCAATACCAGCTATGGCTGGGCTCCGATGAAGAAGATGACCTTGCCCAAAATAGCGCAGCAACGCTCCAACAATGGATGAGCAGAATTTACCCAGCCAACGAAAATGTCAAAAGATCGCAAGCCAATTTCCCAGTGGCTACTGCTAGTCACGGACTAGACCAGGATGGACTCCCAAGACAGCAACCCAAGGTTCAACTGTATCTACCCAGAAACTGGGAAAAAGGGGACCCAACCCCTTGGCAAAGCAAAAAGAGAAGGCCGATGGCCGAAGACTGCCACATAAAGACCACTAGTGACAGATCTCGGGGTCAAGCCCAATAGGTCTCAAAACTAACAAACAAAACCTACAAGTTAAAGCCGAACACTTAGTGTACAGCTCCACTGGAAAACTGCGATTTATTGCATCTGCTGGTTACCTTAGGCTCTGCTTTGGGGAGGGCAAGGACCTTAGGTGGGATGGGGCCCTGTTTGAAGGGAGGGTTAATTTGGGATAAGCTTTGCTGGAGGATATCAATGGGGAACCTACAGTAGGGGATTGTCTGAAGGGATCCCGGTAAGAGAAGAGGGGTGTTAGTAGACAAACTGGTGGAGAAATCGTTGGGGAACCTGCAGCAGGGGCTGTATGCAAGGGATTCTCCAAGATAGGATGGTCTGTGTCCCATAAAATTAGTTCCTGACTGTAGATAGGTACCTGTCATGGGTCCAGAAGCTGACCTCTACAACACCCTGGACTTTTTTATTAAAACAAGGAAAAAGAAAGAAAAAAAAGAAGGAAAGACCGACATCCTCCTTGGGACTGCACCCCACAAAACAACAACCTGAACTTCATGCGCGCACCAAACGACAAATAAAAAGGAACTTGAACAAGATGGCAACCCCTACCTCTCTGTGCTGGTTCATTGCCACGAAGGTCCTACTTTTGCATCGCCAGGCTCCTCTCTCACCTCCAAAGTGTTCCACCTCACTCTCCTTTTGGGCAGAGCAACAACATGACTGTCAGACGAGTGATAGTAACTCTTGGCCGTGAAATACCTGCCTCTACCAGACCACGCTGGGTGCTTAAAGCCTATCGGGTATTCCCTCTTTTGGTGGGAACATCATTACAGACTAGTATCTGCCTACTTGCTTAGGGAAGAACAACACGAAGTGCATCTCATGGCCAAACTCGTAGCAAAAGGCAGCGATCATGACTCTTTGGGATCGCTTTTCACCCTCAAACCAATAATCCATGAGAAAAGAGGGTTGTAAGGGTAGAGAGAATAAAGCTTGGTGGGGCAGAATGTTGTTTTCACCTCAAAAGAAGCAAACAAGTCCTCTGGTTGCTTTTCATCCAACGCAACCTCAACACATGGTGAAACACGAATTCATAAAACTTATCAATACTTATCATTCATCAATGTTATCAGAAAAGCAACAGTGTTATTGTCGTCTCACTCAAATGCAAATACAGAACGAAGCAACTTGCTGCACTGAAAGAGTGTTCTCCCACTGCAATACTACACCTGCAGAAGGAAGCAAGTCAATTGACTTCACACCAAGAACAAAAGTAATAGACCCGTAGATCTTGAGGACACATGAAGTAACTGTAGTCCAGAATCCAACTACAGCCTTGAGGAAGAAACACATGAACAACAATATCAACCATATTTCAACAGGTTCATGTGGCTACGTTAGTTGCATAATTGTAATCAACTACATATTAGGGTTGACGTCAGGAACTATAATACGACCTTACCAACTGTCAACGCATGTACTAAAATATCAGGAACATAAACCACATGAGAAAACTCCACCACTGCTTAATCTACATACATCAAGGATCTGGCAAACCCGTCTCCCACTTTTTTAATGGAGGCAGCCATGAAAAGAGGTTACCCCTGATGAGGTAGAAGGAAGCGAGGAGGGAGGGAGGACATAACGAAAGGAGGGAAGAGGAAGGAACAGAGTCGCCATAGGGGCGGAGGGAGGGAGAGAGGGGAATGAGCAAGGAAGGGAGGAAGGGAGGGAGGGAAAGAGTAAGGAAAGGACACAAGAACGAAGAGACACATACAAGAGAGAGGGAGAGAGGGAGGAAAGAAATGACAGACGAAGGGAAGGAGGAGAGACAATCAGAGGAATAGGGATTGATGGACGGTTGAGGGAGGGACGAAGAGGGGTAGTTGGGGGAGAAAGGAAGAAGGGAGGAGGAGATAAGGGGACAAGGGAGGGATTGCATAGTTATATCATTCTTTTTCGCTTCATCCGCATGGAGCATTGGGGTAAGAGAGGGAGAGAGGCTTTCGGGGTAAGCGATGTGTAAGACAACAAGATAGGAGTGAAGGAGGTAGGGGGTTGTGGATGCCGGAGGTTTCATTCCTAATCTCTTTTAGTCACTGCTTCCTCGCCTTAACAGCCGCATAAGCACCAAGTTATCTAGCAACAATTGTTCGACACAGAGAGAGAGAGAGAGAGAGAGAGAGAGAGAGAGAGAGAGAGAGAGAGAGAGAGAGAGAGAGAGAGAGAGAGAGAGAGAGAGAGAGAGAGAAGAAAGGGGAGAGATGCAAAGGTTTAAGAACCAATCTCTGAACTCTCGAGGGAAAAAGGGAAGAAACGGCAACAAACACAAAGGGCAGCAAAAAGGAAGTTTGACTGGCAGAACTACGCAGCCTAAGTTGAATGTATGTATGGTAGCATAAGGAAAGAGATAGTAATCACACGTCCCATGGTTACTTGTAAAAGAGATAATAACAAATTTTGTGTGTTCTGCTTCCTCCCAATTACCCAGCAAGTAACCCCTTGTTAACTCAGTCTTGGATCCTGGTGATATCTCCTATGCTTGGTCCCCAGTTCATGCAGGCAAAAACGCCTCCTGTTCTCCAACCCCCACTCTTCAGACTATAGCCCCACCGCAATTCCTGTAAGGTTCCTATTGCCCTTTTTCCAGCCCCAGTTCTCAAGCGGCACAACTGCCATAGTCAAGACTTGGCCAGGCGAAGACACTGTCTTGCAGCAACAACATCTAGTATATCGGTGGGAGTATAACCCGCTGAAGCTTCAACCAGAGGAGCCGACAGACAAACACGTGCAGCATGGGAGCCCAGCAAGGGTCCAAGGGAGACTAGCACAGATAGACTGATTGGTCGGAGAGCCATCGAAAACAGCCACCGAGATAGACAATCACACAAGGGAGACACGTAAACCTGCACAGTGTGTTCCGGCCACACTTGCCACCTACACCAACAATCACCGTATAGTTTACTTCCAGGACAATCGGACGACAAAGCGGACCCCACAATAGGAGGGACAATAGTTAAATGGTGGCACAGTCCTACACACTAGCATGGACCATACACTTGTGGGAACTCGGGTAGGACAGCTGTCTGAAAAATGCAGCTATTAACTCTTGTGTTTACGTGGTTTACCTTGGGCAAATTCATGGACATAACCTTATTATAATCGGAACCTTACAAGAACTGGGGTGGGGCTGCAGTCTGAACGGTGGGGGTTGGGGAACACGCGGTGTGTTTGCCTGCATGGAGTAGAGAGCAAGCATAGGAGATAGCACCGGGATCAAAGACTGACTTAACAAGGGGTTACTTGCTGAGTAATTCGGGAGAAGCAGAACACTCAGAATCTGTTCCCATATCTCTTACAAGTAACCACGGGATATGTGATTACTATCTCTTTCCTTACGCTATCATATAGGCAATCAACTTAGGCTGCTTGGTAGTTCTGCCAATCAAACTTTCTTCTTACTAGGTAGGCCCTGCAACTTACTATCGTTTCAATCATTGAGCCATGAGCTTGTACAAGCAGACAACTACAATGTTTAGGGAGCCTGGACCCGCTTTCTAGCAGGTGTTACTCCTTACCAATAGATGGAGCCTCCCCGAGAGTGCTACTGGTGTCTGCGCTTATCAGCACCCCTAACATCAACCCGGGATATTAAAAAAGAAGAGAGAGAGAGAGAGAAGGGCGGTTGTAAGGGAAGAGAGAACAAGGCCTGGTGGGGCAAAAAAAAAAAAAAATCCTCAAAAGAAGCAAGCCAATTCTTGAGTTGCTTTTCATCCACTGCAACTTCTTTATAAAGAGCTTTGATTCTAAGAGGTTCAACCTTTGTCTCAAGCTCCCACTTTGCAAAGTTGAGCTATCCTTCAACGGCTTCATTCTCCTCCCTCCATCGGTCAGCACGATCTGCAACACCATGCAACAGGACGGAGGTCATAAAAGACCTTCCCTCGATTAGAGCGACGACAAAGATCATAAAAAAAGGGGTAATGCGGAAGATGACATCATGCACAATACCTTCGAATTGAAACAATACATTACCACCTAATGTAATTACGGCACATGATGAACGTCATTCCATCACATGTGGAATTAAGTGAGAGCCCATTTATATATCATGCAATCGATGAACAACTCCAGATCAAATTGGGTTGGAGAGAGTTGGGGCGTAGAGCTTGGGCTCGCCAGAAGATACACTACACAGTGACAAAGCTAACAAATTGACATACTAAGAACACAAAGTGCACACTAGGTTTCAGGGAGCCACAATGAAGGAAGCGCTGGACTGACCTGATTGGAGTGGGTTAGAGAGGTACACCAAACAGTGAGTCAGCCAACAAACTGTGAGGTAAAGGACACAAAGTGAAGTGGGTCCAAGCGAACCATTCTGAAGGCCAAACTGAGTTGAAAGACTATGATCACTTAACTCAAACCCTATATGTGAAGTGCCCACCATGACCACAACAAGATGCGGTGACACACTATGTGATCAGACTCTTCAACGACATCCAGCCGGAGGAGAGAGGACAGAGAGCGAGGGAGAAATGAGGCTACATGATAGGCTAAGGACCTAAGGTAGGGAAGTAGTACGGGTGGGCAGTGCCACACCATGGCTTAGGACTACTGTTCTGTTCATGCCCCCAGTTTGTGGGGGATTGCAAAGGGTTTTCATTGTCTAGAGACTTCAGTGTTCAGTGCGTTCTTGGTTTGGTGTGCTCTCAACCCTTTCAATCTCCGTTCAATTTGGTCTACGCATGCATGCTCTTCTATAAGTTCATGCTGCTCGAAGTTTTTATGTTCTCACAATAGTAGATACTGATCCATACTTTAGGGCCTCAGGCCCCTCCACGCACATGCGGCGTGGTCACTTGGTACATCACCTCTCTCTCTCTCTCTCTCTCTCTCTCTCTCTCTCTCTCTCTCTCTCTCTCAGTTATTTAACCCGCCTTTGATTGTCATAGTTGAGGTAAGGAGGAGTACTGCATGAAACCATTACGTCACTCTTGTGGGAATTTGGTTTTAATCCGTAGTGATACTAGTGAAACAAGCATCTTAAAAAATATGTCTACGCTGGTTAGTGAACTGTGATTGATCAGCTTCAATGCAATATGTTTATCTTAGCAACTCTGTTGTGTGGCTTGAGACTCGTTCAGTCGTGAAGTCTGGGACCATACCAGTTTCCCTGGTGTATATCATTCAAAAATGTCATCCAAGATTTGTGATATCAAAGGAGAGCCTGCAATATCACACAACTTTCACATCACCACTAAAATCAACTCAGGGAGATCCACACGTAGTGCTTCCACGCACAGTCATATGATGATTACTATTGACATTTGTTTGATTTGCCACCCACGTCGCATAGAACCACACATACGAAAGGGGAAAAAAAACATGGTCCACGACACACACACACACACATCTGGAGGACACGTTCCCTCTCTCAACGACAGCTTGGAACTGGCAAAACGATTCATGGCATGCATTCAATTTGGTATTAGGTCAGTTGTCAGCTTCGTCGCATGCAAAACCCTACCCACCATAGTTGTGCTCAACTAGGCTATTCTTCCCCAGACTCCATATGATGACAAGTTGTAGCAAGAGGAAGGAGCATAATAAAGTAGCCCATTTATCACCAACCACACCCTTCAATTACCTAGCAGGATTTGAACCACGGGGAAGGAGCAGCACTAGAAATATAAGAGTAAAGGGCAGTAACCATAGCTCCTTCGTGCATACGCATAGTAATGTATTCAACATAATAATCCATGTATACACCAAGAGCAACTGCAAACGAAGCAAGCGAAATACTGATGTGAGAAAATATGTGAAAGAAGAAGAGGGCAAAAATGTGAATGTGACCTGATGACCTCCTCTATTTGGAACCGAAAATGAGGGGCATTGTCCTCGTTTACTCAAGAACAAAATTGCCCAACCCCCTAAGGGCTTTTGAGATACAGGCTTCCATCCTGTAAACCCTTGGTGTCTTTAACCACCATTCGATCCGGCCTTAAATTGACCAACTGAAATTCCTTCATGCCGAACCTACAATCTTCAGTGCATATAATTGTTATTTTTAAGGGAGGTAGCGCACGATCCTACCTTGAAACTGGAAGAGTTGTACAATTGTACCTAGTGCAGCGAATGGAAAGAGAAAGACAAGGGGAGGGGGGGGGGGAAGCCTAAATGGAGGTCAATGATGTAAAGGAAGACCCTCACCGAGGGCAAGTTTTTCAGGAATGTATCAGACCGCTATCACCACGAAATCTTTGTTTCTTTTCTCCCCCTTTCTTCTGTTTCTTTCTTCATAGCCCAACCCAGTTCTCATTTCCCCCCCCCCATTTTTTTTTTTCAAAAAAGGGCGACGGCCTTGAGATATTATCATTGAGCTGACCGACCCCAGACAATTCATTAGTAGTTGGTTTTACTCATGAAGTTCCATCATCTGGATTCGAACACAGGTCTGTATTTCAACAGTTCATGGGTGTACCCAATAAGCTAGGCTCTTGGGTCGTTTCCCCTCTCCCAATTTTGATATCAATAGATCTTTCTGGGCCCACTAACCTTTTCCCTCCGAGTCTGATCTGTGTAGATTTTGCTGCTGTACTCGTAAATGAAAAAAATCTACAGTACACGGTCCAACAGACTGTGGTTTAGTTGACAACTTCACACCTAGTGTACTTGACCTCAATCAATACATTGAAAAAAAACACTCATTGAACAGGCTGAGGAAAAAAAGAAAACAAAGACAAGGTGTCGACAAGGAGAGGACTGCTACAACGGCAACAGACAAGGAAGACACGATGTCAAAGAAGAAGAACAAAAAAACAACAAAAAACATCATTGGCAAAAGGAGTGTGCAACGTGACACTGATTGTGGGCCACCTCCCTGTTCATCTCTCTCCCATCTGTCCACCTAAGAACCAACGTGATGACAACGTTGATTACAATCCACGTAGAGAAGGAGAAAAAACAAATGAACACAAGAAATGTGGCATACAACATAGCAACGACGTGCCACGTGTCACTTGGCACGTCACCCTCTCTCTCTCTCTCTCTCTCTCTCTCTCTCTCTCTCTCACACACACACACACACACACACACACACACATCTCACACACAGGCACATTCACACACACAAACACAATGCAATGACCAGAAAAACAAGAAAAATAAAGGAAAAATGAACATTGTACCTAGGCTACCAGAGTGGCCCGGGGTCACTTGCCCGGCCGGGCCAAAAACTTAAAAAAAAACAAAATTACAATTAATTTTTTTATTTTATTTTTTATTTTAAATTTGGTAAAGAATTTTGAGGTGACCCTGAGGCAAAGGTTGTTCAGTTTATTTTTCTGCATAACATAGTTTTTTTCCGGATTTTTTCGAGTTTCTCTGTTTCTGTTTTTTTGGCTGGGACTTTCTCTGGTCCTTGCACGGGCTGTCCACCCGGGACCCGGGCGGCCCGGCGGGTAGCCTAGCATTGTGCCACGTGGCACCGTCTTCAAGTTGTATAGGGATGGCGGGCACCAGTTTTGATCTTCAACTCCTCTCTCTCTCTCTCTCTCTCTCTCTCTCTCTCTCTCTCACACACACACACACACACAAACACAATGCAATGACCAGAAAAACGAGAAAAAATAAAGGAAAAACGAACAACGTGCCACGTGGCACCGTCTTCAAGCTGTAAAGGGATGGCGGGCGCCAGTTTTGATCTCCAGCTTCTCTCTCTCTCTCTCTCTCTCTCCCCGAAGTTGAAGACAATGACCAAGAAGACGAACAGGAAGAAAAAAGAAAAACACAACGAACAAAAAGAACGAGCGGATTGCAACAGCAGGCCACTTCATTTCCAACTGTCTTTCTTGTCCAATACACGTATGGCGGGGACAGTATTTGCAGGCCATATCCAGCATGACATGTGTGCATAGACCGTAAGCACGAGGACAAAACAAGGGGATGATCAGTACTAGGACACGTGTCTGTGTAAGTGTTTTGGGGGAGAAGGGGGGATGGGGGTTGGGATAGAGTACGTGCGCATGTCTTTGTGCTTGAGAACTCGTTTGAGGAGGAGTGGTTGCGTGCTGACATGAAAGCTAACGTGATGTGGCACTTTGTGGCTTTTCAGAACCCTGGCGGCTAACTTGAGAGACTGTCCGATCAGGGTTCTTTCATTTTTTTTGTCCCTTCGTAACTCCCCCCCTGTTTCCCCCCTGCCTTTCCAACCCTTCCCATCCCGTCCCTCGGCTGTCCATGCCCTTCCGCACTGTTGAACTCTCTCTCTCTCTCTCTCTCGCTCTCTCCCTCTCTCCACCCCCACTCACACACGCACACACACACAAACACAATGCAATGACCAGAAAAACAAGAAAAAATAAAGGAAAAACGAACAACGTGCCATTAGTTCAATCAATCAATCAACCCATCTACCAATCCAATCAATCAATCAAACGAGCAAATACCACTCACTCACTGACTCAATCAATCAATAATACAATGAAATAAAGGAAAAAACGAAGAAAGAAGAGATAAACATTGAAAAACAGAAAAACGGATTGGGGAAACATCAAAGCTCCCCCCCACCCTTCCCCCACTGCCCTTCACCGCCACTCCGCTGCCCTCCCTACCCTGTCCTCACCGTTCAATGGTCTTCAACGCCCTCTCTCTCTCTCTCTCTCTCTCTCTCTCTCTCTCCTCTCCGCCACAATATACATAGATGAGCACTGTTTCCTCTGCAGGAGTAACGAAGGCAGCAGGCTGCGCTCCGCAGCTGCGCCGTCACTATCAGAAGCAGCAAACGTCTGAGCGTCTAGTTACTCTGAGATAGATTCAGAGGTTCCATTCAGCCACGCTGCATCCGAGGAGACAGGCAGGCGAGATGAGAACCACTCTGCTCGATCGTCGGAGAGAAGGCACTAACCCCAACGGAAGGAAAGGAGAGGCCATTCCGACTGACTTCCCAGTGAACTGCGCGCTGTTTCTTGAATACCCCAAACCGTTCCGTCTTCGCGCTGCCCTGCGCCAGTACAAGCAACAATCAGCGACACTCGGCGTAACAAAAACGTTTACATGGAACAGCGCCGAGCCACAAATGCCAATCCCACGAACATAAGTACCATGTCACCGCCACTGCCAGCGTTCAAAACGCTTGATACGCCAAGCCCAATAAAGGCAACAAATTCCATCCCGCCCGACCCGAAGACCGAGAGAGCTTCAACGGCCCCTTCGGCAGTTAGACGGCAGATCACGAACAAACCCCCATCAAGAGAGAGGGGGATGGCGCAGTAGAACCAGACAGCCCACCTCGCATGCATGAATTCCTCTCCTGTCCAATCAAACACTCAATGCCAAAATCCACTGCACATGCCTACCTTTCTCTCAACTTCGATCATATCGCAGCCACCGTTAACCGTCTCCGACCGCCCTCGTCCTCACCTCCCTCCCTCTTCTTCTCCACCTATTCATCGCCAAGATAACACTGCAACGCAAGCCCGAACGCAATCATCCACCATTACCTTCTCCTCTCTTCAGCGACGTAGAAGCGGGCACCGCTCACTTCCTTAAGAAAGACAGGAGGGAGGGAATTGTACATGTACCGTTTTCGGGATTAGCGTCAGTCTTTTGACTCTCTCTCTCTCTCTCTCTCTCTCTCTCTCTCTCTCTCTCTCTCTCTCTTTCTTTTCCCCTGCAGTTCTAAATCATACACTCACATTGCGTTCGTCCACTCCTACCGCGTCTGTGAACCGGGCACCCGCAAACAATGCCTGATAGGGGTTGCACAATTTGACCTCGGATTCTTGCCCCACTGCCCCACTCCTCCCAATGCTTATGAAGTCAACCTAAGGACAAACGCTAGAGACGAAGAGAGCGCCGCAACCTCGGATCCATTGGATCCCTGTTCATCGACCGGCACTTTTCCCAGGCTTAGGACAAACAGTCCAAAAAAATGTCAAGCAAGAAACCTGCCCTCCAACACCTCATGAATCGAAGTCCAAGCTACACGCTCCTTCCCACCCCTCCCCCTCGTCCCCTCTTTCTTTCTCTATGTGAACGTGCACGTCCGTTTCGACCCAAACGACCGCAATGCTGACATTGCTTGATAGGACACACGTATGAAGTTGCATACCGTAATGCGTGTTCATATCAACTCATTCCAGCACTCTCCTTGCCCCCCCCCCCCCCCCCCCCTCTCTCTCTCTCTCTCTCTCTCTCTCTCTCTCTCTCTCTCTCTCTCTCTCTNCTCTCTCTCTCTCTCTCTCTCTCTCTCTCTCTCTCTCTCTCTCTCACACACACACACACACACACACACACACACACACACGCACACACATACACACACACAAATGCGCGTGGTGGTCGCTGCTACTATCTCTCTCTCTCTCTCTCTCTCTCTCTCTCTCTCTCTCTCTCTCTCTCTCTCTCTGTGTCTGTGCGTGTGTGTGTGTGTATCTCACGAACATGCATTTGGATTACAACGATACTCGACAGGCATTTGAGTCCGCAAAAAAAAAAAAAAAGATAAGATTGGTTCCCCGACTGCCACAGGCGAGTTGGAGAAGAGGGAGGTACTGAAGAGTGGATGGGAGGACGTCATAATTGGGAGACAAGGGACCATAGAGGGAGAGAAAAGAAAAGAGAATAGCGAAAAGAAGTAAAGGGGAGGTAAGCAAATGGAATTGGCGCAAATCAGATCGCATCATTCCACACATCTACGAAAAGCGAATAGAAACATGGATTGGGCTGTGGAGCCATATCGTACCTGCACCAGCCTATCCTCTCCCAGCTTTCGCTCCTCAGGATTTTGGCTCGTTGCCATCTGCAACACGGAGGACAGAGTAGCCAGATCCATCTCGAAGTCCACGGCGTACCCAAGGGTGACGCCAATACTGTAATCAACTTGTCCTTGCGCAGTTCTCTCTCTCTCTCTCTCTCTCTCTCTCTCTCTCTCTCTCTCTCTCTCTCTCTCTCTGTGGCACCAAACTCGATTGCAACGAATTTGCAGAATCATTCATCGTGATTTTATTTCCACATTACGTTCCGTTACATTCCGTCTACTTCTCTTTGTTATCGTTCTGTTCCGTTAGCCTTCACTGTTGTCGACAACTACCCTGTCTTTTGGCAGTTTGACGACGAGTACGGGGCATTTGCAATGATGAACGCAGTAGTCGCTGACGCTTCCAAGAAAGACTCCTTTCAGAGCACCATAGCCATGACTTCCTTTTTTTTTTTTTTTGGCTAGAAAACAACAAGGAGCTAGCGAGTGTTGCCAAATATCCTCATATCATATCCTCAGATTCAGATGCACGGAGCTTTAACAAAGAACGGAAGGCGAATACATGTAAAAGAAGTAATAAAGTGTTCGTTGAGCCGAGAGAAGGTTAGCGTCTCCCTCGATAAGGACGGGAATAGTCTATGCTACGGACTACATGAACACTTACGGTTTAAGATACCCACCCAAAAGAAAAAGTAAGACAGTGATGGAGAGAACTACTCTGCGAAGTAACACAGGCCGCTCCCTCTCTCGCTCCTATGCTAATTGTAGAACAAACAACGATAAGTCCACGTCTCTCTCTCTCTCTCTCTCTCTCTCTCTCTCTCTCTCTCCACGCCTTCACAAAACACATGCACGTGGGCACACACGTACACACTCCTCTCTCTCTCTCTCTCTCTCTCTCTCTCTCTCTCTCTCTCTCTCTCTCTCTCTCCACGACTTCAGAAAACACACGCACGTGGGCACACACACG